ATGGAAAATGCAGAAGGCGCTGTCGAGGAGGTCATGCAGGGCCTCGAGAAAGACTGGAAGTCTGTGACAGAGCAGGATGTACTTTGCAAGATCAACACGGAGAACTTGGATTTCAGCAGAGATCAAGAGCACAAGCTCGTCAACGCGCTGCCTCGCATCCGAGAACTGCAGCGGCTCCTGAACTCAGGGGCTCTAGGCAGCCTGTCGCAGGTCGGGGATCCTGTCTGCATGGCCCGCGTCCCGCGAACGCTTGACATCGACTTCGGGGCTCACGCGCGGAAGCTGAAGGATGTTTCGAGTGCAGATCGGGTGACAGCTTTGTACGATGCTGAGGAGGCGATCTTAGCGGCCCGCAGGCTGCAGTACAGCTTTGGCGGGACTCAAACTCTAAAGCCTCAACCCCGCTGTAGAGGCTATGGGTGAATTCGGTTTTCAAGCAACCCCCCAAGTGGGCCAGGTCTCTTCGCGGTCAGATTCAGATCAGGAGTCGTAGACCCAGAGGATGAAACAGGTGACGTGAGGATTGAACTTGATAGGGAGAGGGTTCTTGTTGTTGCCGACTAGACGATTTTTTTTGGGGTGAGCGTCTGAACAGCGTTCCCTAGCAACGTGGTTACCCGAGGCGTGGAATGCTACAAATCTGTCACGACAGCGGCTTCTAGAACTGCACGACCTGATGACTTCCTACGTTTCCGTGTCCGATCGAGCATATTCTGGTGACCCCGAGGGTCAAAGCCGACGGGTGCTGATGGCAACTGCCATGGCTTTGATCGCGGACCGCGAAGCTTGCAAGGAGTTCCCCCTTCTAGAAGAGTATCAAGTGGGCATTGACATGAGCATGCTTGAGGTACTGCTTGTGCCGCACTTATGGCAGAAAATTCTGCTGCGGGACATGGAGTCACATGTCAGAAGCCGCGATTCTGTTGCACTGCGCCCCAGCACACTGACCCCAGCAGCATCCCAGACGTCTTTTGCCGTCAGATTCGCAGAACAATCGAGTGACATGGAGAAAGTCCGGGAGGAGATTCTCCAAAAGTGTTCAAAGAATCAGCAGCAGAAGACTAAGGAGGTCAAGGAGAAGCAACATCAGTTTGACAGCTTGCGCAAGCAGGCTGCCAAGCACGAAGCTTCTTCGAAATCTCTTCTTTGCAAGTGCAGCGACAGCAGCTTGCTTGCAGGTTGCTGGATGATCATTCCTTCAAAGGTCCTTTCACTTGCCCAGAGTTTGGCTTCCATGGTTTAGTCCCTCGGAGACCATCGTGGCCGAGTGCACGAGTTCGATCTTCGGCACTTCAGGTTTGTTTGGTTTGCGCGTGGATTATCTGCAGCTTCAGAGGGCAGATGCCGATAGCCAGGTAGCCAGCAAACTTGAAGCTCCACGCTATCACAGTTGTGTAGGCTCCTCCTTTCTGTGGGTCCGGACATCTCCGCAACACTTTCCTGCATAGCGCGAAGCGGATGTCTAATCCGAGGGGAAGGCTTTCATGAATGGCCTGGGTAAGGGAAGCGGGCTTCAAAGGAGGTCTGATGTGCTCAACATTCAGACTCCTAGCACTTGCATGGCAGTGCTTGATTTGCTCAGTTCCGCACAGTTTGTTCGAGCCTAGCCTTGCAGTCAAAATAGTCTAGATTTGCTGTGTCTTCTCGATGTCTAGCACGACGCAAGCATGCCTACCTCGACACCTGTCTGCTGTCACCTGGAAATTTGCCATGAGGTATGCCCGGTGCTTCGCCTTGCGAAAGATGCAAGCTTGCAAAGAAAGCCGGTGCTTTGTGTTCTCAGGCCGGCCAAATCAAGGTGGATTTCTACGAGAAGTTGCTTCCGGAAAGGCTTCATGAACAGCGTGCCGTGGTGTATGAGCTGCGGCAGCCACGCGTGCTAGCTCTCCAGAGGGACTTGAAGCTGCTTGTGGCTCGGGACCTTGCTGTTGAAAACTTTCACAGCAACCAGCCGGTGATGGGCTTCTGGAGGGATGATCCTTGCCTGTCGGAGTGGCAAAGTTGTAACGCAACGTTCTCGCTTGCTTCGACGACGAAGAAGTTCTGCCAATCACATTACAGAAGCTTGCAGGTTTCCAAGCACGATACCTTCGTCGTCCCGCATGGATACAACCTTGCGTTGGGAGACAGACGCCGCAACCGAACCATCACTTCAAAACTGCATTGGGATGTCGCGGAGCTAACTAAGGCAAAGCCAGACGACGTCAGGTACGATGCGCTAAGCGAGCAAGTTGCCTCATGGAAGACAGATGAAAACATGGGAATTGCTAAGCAGTCTGAAGCACATCCAGACCTGAGTTTGTTAGAGTTCCTCACTTACTCTGCTCTGCGAAGTGGCATTCATCTTCAGCTGCCGCGTTTGGCTGACGCGATTGCGCAGCACATCTTGTCCTTTGACCGCACAGGCGTCCTCAACCTATTGAAAGCCTTGCTGTGGCAAGCAGGTCCCCCGGCTGATGATTCGGACCCCAGGTTGCAGGCGCTGAGGAATGCTCGCCGAGTACTCTTGCAAGAGGACTTTGCGATGGTGTTGTGCAATCAATTCTCGGGTCTACTGAGCAGAGCGGCACAGAGTCGAGAGTTGCTGTGCATTGTGCATGTCGCCAGATGTCTCGTGGAACACTCTGCTCTGCGAGCTGCTGAAGCAGCGGCTGGCCTGCTGGTCGGCGCCCGGAAGCAAGGCCTCGAATGGCTGCAAGAAGAGACACAGCTTCTGAGGGAGAGCAGTGGTAGTGGCAATGCAAGTGAGATAGAAGATCGGCGCAACAAGATCGTTGACATTGCAGCAGCATGTGCGTTGACGTTTTTGCCTTCTTCAACGGAGCCAGCGCTGCCGGAGCTCATGATCAGCAAGGCTTCCTTGTCTGATTGGCTTCACTTCCGGGCTGTCTGCCACGACAATATTTTGCTGGGATGCCGGCAACAAGAGCTTGTCGACCCAGAACGATGGTGCCTCCTACAGCAAGCCATGCGCCAGGCCTTAAGCATCGAAGAAGATATTCACAGCATCGGCCCATCACCTCAGCTGACAGCCTTTGTGAAGTCTCATTGGAGTGGCGGTCGAGACGGCACTTACGATGATTGGCAGAGATGTGAGATGCCTGCTGGGTGTTGGTACAGAAGTCGGTTTGACAGTGATGGCCACAGCTGTGTGCTGCATGTCCATGTCCTTGATGGCTCCTTCCTTGTTGACGGACAGCCGGTTGGATGCCTGCCGAAGGAGATTACGGACTCTGATGTCTACCGGCAACTGTTCGGCAACTCAGTCTTGGAGGTGCAGCTTGGAGTAGATGGCGGCTACATGACCAACGCACTTCACCATGGTGGGGTGTTCGGCTTCAAGCTTGACTCAAAAGTTGGCGTTGTCATTACTGAGGACCGTCAGCGCGATGATGGGTCTTGGGTTCAAGCGGCTTTGGTGCCGCGCGATGCATTCAGGCACGACGTCCCCGGAGATCTTGTTGATGGACACAGTCATTGGTTGGTTGATTCGGAGGCAGCAGTGTATTTTCGGCCGATGCGAGCAAATGATCCCACATTTGCCGCGGGCTGCACTGAGTGCGGTGCCAAGTACATCTTAGACTTGAAAGGACAGACAGTCAGAAACACCACGACTAATGCCTGCATGATTGATATTCAGAGCAACACTTTTCAAGAGCTTTTCGAACGCACATTCCGACGGATCGCGCCGCAAGATAGAGTTCATGTTTATGCTGGTGATCCAGCCCCAATGATCTTTCTGCCCTCCCTGCGTTTGCGTTTCTATGTTTGTCAGAAGGATGGAGATGCGCAGATTCGATGCCACGAGCTAGGAGGTACAGTAGCAGAGGATCAAAGTCTCGGCACCCTGGTCGGTCTTGAGCATGGCCTCGCTCTTGAAACGAAGCATACGAAGTCGCTCCTATTGCCGCATGCTGCGGTGACACGCTGCTCCTCCGGGAGCCACTGTGAAGTGACACTGGATCTTGCCAGCCTCGGTTCACCTCCCTTTTTCGTTTACTCAGTGCGACCCGAGTTGCATGAGCTATGTGGGCAAAAAGATCGTCAAGCATGGCTTTATTTGGCGCTCCTGCATGCGAAGACGTCCGGTGTCTTGCCGGATCCCTTCACCGGCCGCACAGGAACTGCTACAGCCCTTCAGCTGTTGCGGTCCCCTCGATGTCGTGGAAATCTTCGCGACAGCTTGGAGGACAAGATCGAGATTGGCACGCCTGAGAAGACTCTGCATGAAATAGCTTTGCTTTCGCCCAAGCGTTCGAGATATCCTGCTCATATCTGCGCTTCTTGACGAGCAGATTCGAGCATGAGCCTATGCTAGACTTTGAGCTCCCGATCTAGTATTCAGGGGTTCGGTTCCATGCGTGCATATGCTTCCTCAGATTCCTGCTGCTCTTCTTGCCCAGGTTATGGAGCAAGTCGATTTTGGTGGCATGCCCGGTCTGTGCGCTCACGAAGGCTTCAGCTTCCTTGCTCACGAGGCTTTGCGTGAGGTGGCGGAACAGTCACGAGTCACCGGCGAGGCTGCAGAAGGATTGTATCTCTGTCCTTGTTGAGTGGCACTTGTCATTTCCGTAAACACCTAGTTGAGTTCTAATTCGGCAGAACCATTAGCAGTTTTTCACCCAGATAAAGTGTCGTCCCCATATTGGCTTAGGCATGATGAGCAGGTCTTCGGGAAGCGATGCGGTTTGCTTTCTCAAAGAGCGTATCTGCGGAATCGTGAGGAGTATGGTTTTGCTCTCAGCTTATCGTGTGAAGAAGAGCAGGCGCTGGAGATACAGCATCCTTTGACGACAAAGCAGTGGCAGGAGGAGGATGGAGACCGCGAACCCGTTCGGAGAATTGCGCTGGCAGCACGGAGTGGCACATTCCCACAAGATCTGCTTCTTCAGAGTTTCTTGTTGGCCTCAGCGAAAATCGATGGCGTCGTTGACAACAATCTAGCGATGGCTTCCGTGCCTGAATGGGAGGAGTTTGGCAAGCACGGCGACAACATGAGAGGTAGCTGGATCGCATTGTATCAAGCTGCTATCGCGCCTGATAGCACGTCTCGCTTCGTGTTTTTCTTAACGTACCTGGCGGTGCAGTGGCCACAGCACGTGAAACATCTCGAGCTATTGGCCGGCATTTCCTTCCATGCAGACAAGTTTCGGGCCTTGCCACTGCCATCACATCGGGAGTATGAGTGCCCAGACGAATTTGAATTCAGGCAAGACAGGGTGCAAGGCATGATTGAGGAGCTCCAGGAGCTTCCGGAGCCGCGGCCGCTTGAACTCATGTCCTCCTCCGAGGAAAAGTTCAAGAAAGAGGTGACGGACTATGAGCAACGTCTTGAAAGGTTCTTTCGCCAGCGCGAAGAAGATCGCCAGCGGGTCATCGATGCGAGCCGAAGTAAGTGGGGCTCGGAAGGCAGTGTGACGCGAGAGGAGTGCAGCGGGCAGACGGTGAGGGACCCAGCCTGGCTGATGCAGCGCATCAACGCCTACTTGATCCGATGCCGTCAAGCCCGGGAGCTGCGCGATTTCGTGATATCCGTTGAGGCCCAAGCCTCCCAAATGGCCACGCCTGCACCTCTGTGTTGGGATGTGTCCATGCATCGTAACAGGCCCGAGCTGTGCCTCTCTCCTCCATTTGAGCTTTCATCTCCAAGTCAGCTGGAGCTCGCACCCGACAACACGCTCGATGCGATTTGGTTCACGGGCAGATTCCCCCAGCCTGTTACATACGAACCCGATGGTCAGGTCGGCCGCGGTCAAGAACTGCAGCTGGCTCCTGATAAGGACTTGTGTGAAGCACGGTTCAACCTGCAAAATGCTGCAGCACATGACAGATGTAGAGCTGTTGATCGAAGATCGAAGTTAAGCTTTAAGAGTAGACGGGCACATGTGTTCCTTGCTGGAGGAGTATGAAGCTATCAACGAAAGCTTGGTGGTCCCTTTGAAAGAGAGTTGGGAGCTGGCGAAGACAAGGGTTGTTGACTTGCAGCCGCAGTTCCCATCGGATTTGAGGAAGCGGCTGTGCGATTACCAAGTCCGAGCACGGCTGACGAGGAAAATGGCTTGGCATCAAATTCGACATGCCCTAGATGGACGAGGCTGCCTGACAGATTTAATGTGCATGTCAATGTTTTTTCTCTTGGAGCCAGGTAACATTTTCCAAAGCGTTGTGCAGTCGGCTGCTGTTGTGTTCAGGCAGCTCGGACGTCCTGATGCAGCGAAGTGGTCTGTATGATACCCCAGTGCCACTCACGGTGCTTCCCCGTCTCTTGGACAAGAAGGACGATGCGCCAGCTCGGTCACTCCGAAGTGCAGCTGCAAGAGGACGCTTACGGTCTATGTGCATGTAAGTAAGGCAGATGCGTTACTTTGAATACTCCGGGCCTAAGCCCTGAATCAACACAGTCTAGCCGCAACCGAAACCCCATAAGGCCCTATGGCCTAAGGAACAGCAATTGGCACATACGCAGTCTGTCTTCGAGCGGAGCAGCGCGCCAACCGCTGCTTGAGGCTGCACGGAAGTTATTCCGAAATGATGGGTCTAGTTTTGCGGGTCCTCGTTACATAGCAGGAACGTAGTACTTCGGACTTTGGCTTCTACATGGGCGATCCCAGCGATAGGCTTCATGATGCGGATGGCATGGGAGCATGGTTGGCACGGGAACTTCAGCCCTCCAGCACTGGTAGTAGCAACTGGGAGCCCGAAGAGCATCCAGAGTGGCTGCTCTTCGAGATTGACAACGATGTCTGCATCCGCGAGGAGCAGGTGTTAGTTGCCCAGAAGATGATGTCAGGAGGCAGTGAGGCTGACAATTGCTTGGTGCAGCTGAACATGGGCGAAGGCAAGACGCCTGGCTGCCGAGTTGGAGTAACGTCTTGCTAAAGGATGTGAATGGTCGCATTGCAAGACACAGGTTGATGTCAAGGTTTCCAAAGCCCTCAGATAGGTGTTGGCCTTCATTCCTGTCAGGACATCGGTGATTGTCCCGCTACTCATTGCAGCGCTTGCAGACAAGTGCAACCTGCTGTGCATTACTGTCTTGTCGTCGCTGCGGCACAGCAACGCGGCTGACTGGCAGTTGAAGCCCCTGGGCTACTGCACCAATTACAAGGTTGTCTGCAACATCGGCGGTTCTTTACGAATTATTCTTATCATTATTGCCATGCTTACTGCTATCTGCTATCAACAATAGTTCTATTCATAATAACAACTATAACATGATTGCTACGATCAGGCGCACAGAAAGTTGGCCGCCAGACTTGCCTGACTAAGGCTGGGAGGCTTGCTGGGGCATCGAATTTATCCACTCTTCTGCCGGCGGGATTTGAAGATGGAGGTCCGACTTCAGCCTACCTGGAGGGTCTTGTGGGGGACTTCGTTAGTGTCGTTGCAGCACACACAACGGCCCAAGTTTAGCGGTTGAGGCTACGCCTGAAGTGCTTGACGCGAGTTTGGGGCCTGGCCTTTTGGCGAGGCTTCCAGGAGTACTCGGGAATATTCTGGGTGTGGTACTGTACAAGCTTCGCCTGGCGACTATGAATTGAAACGCACGGCTGCGTTGCATCTCCCAGTCTGGAAGGTGCATGTACCGTTCATTCACAGAAAGAGTCATCCTTCCAAGTTGTCCCAACTTCAGTGTAAAGTGTACCCAGACTCCAGGCTGTGGAGCGCTATCTTAATCACCCACGAAGCCCAAGTCTGTGGCCCTTGTCAATCCTAGCCGTGCACTGCTTAGCCGCACCTGGACCGGTAGATGCCACTAGCTGTCGCCGCGATGCGTAAAATTGTGCCAGGCGGCCGAGGCCAGCGCCTTGTACAAGTTGTTAGACAACATCCGGCTTCGTCCGGGCCTTGCATTGCTTCCGGCCGGGGGCGCGTGTTGCTTGATTGAGACTTCTGTCCCGACTTAAGGTGGGCACGTTGTCGTTACAGTACCTGAGCATCGGCTGTCCTTGGAAAACAAGGCCTTGGAACTGGCAAAGACGGGTAACCTGCTGGCCAGCCAGCAGCTGCATGATGTCCTGAGTCTGATGAAGGAGCATAAGAGGGATGTCTTGGACGAGTCGGATGAGATCCTACATCCGAAGAATCAGCTCATCTACACGTTGGGAAGTCAGCAAGACCTGGACGGTGAGCGATTGCGATGGCGTCTGGCCTCTGCCGTGCTTGCGCGAGTGGCCTGGAGGGCTGAAGAGCTGGCCCGCATGTTTGGAAGCGATGAAGTCGAATATGTTCCTGGAACGCCTGACTTTGAGTTCCCTTCCTTCCGCTTGCTCCAGTCAGCGGCAAGGCAGGCTGACCAGCGCAGTGCATATCACCAGTTGTGTGAGTGGATTGTGGAAGACCTTATCGCAGAAGACACGCACCTGCACTTGCAGCTTCGTGGAGCAGAGCTTGAAGCTTTCAAGGAGAGTGCTCTCAGCCCGGCATCGACGGACAAGCCGTGGCTCAGACTAGATCCAAGTCTGCAGCCAGTCGCTTACATGTTGCGCGGTCTCCTTTGCCATGACATCCTGTTGCTCGCCCTTAGCAAGCGCTGGAGAGTCGAATACGGTGTTCATCCGGGAGGTAGGCGGCGCATGGCCGTCCCCTACAGGGCAAAAGATGTCGCCACTGATCGAACGGATTTCGGACATCCCGATGTGGCCATCGTGCTCTCAGTCCTGACCTATTACCGTGGAGGCTTGGATGACAAGGCAATGGAGGAGGTTTTCGAGAGGCTGCACCACAAGGGTGGAAGACGTGCCGAAGCCATCTATTCGGAATGGACCAGCCAGATGGGGGACAAGATGCCAACGGGTCTTCGACGGTTGCCACCTGGCCAACCACAGCATAGTTTCTGGTTCGTGGCTAGATATGTCTGTCAGGTCATCTTGGGTTCTTTGTGTTTCCTTGAAGCGATGGTCGGAGGTCACTTTAGTTAGATCGCCCGGTGAGAAGGCCATTCATGGCTCGTGCTCTACTGTGCCTGCAATCTTTCTCAGGTCTGGAGTGAACCAGGACAGCCAGAAGACCATGCAGGTGACTGGATGTTTGCTCAAAAGACAATTAGAGTTTCAGTTTTGTGCAGCATTCGCTAACTACCCTTCTTCAGCAACTTCAGGTTTGCTAGCTCCGTCTGGCGGTTGCACCTAACACCTTTTTTTCGTTCCCGCACTGCTTGCCTCTGCAAGGCTCTTTACTCTGTTTTGCGAAAACATCGTGGAGTGATCGACTTCTGGCTGGACGAGGACGGGCCCGACAGTCGACCTTGTTTGCGTTGAATGCAGCACGTGCTTGCAGGTCGTTTTTCAAGTTGAAGCGAAGCAGTTTCCGCAGAAGCTCGTCGCTACAGCATGGGACTTGTGCCCAAAAGGTCCGCTGACTACTGGCTTCTCTGGCACAGATGATGCTAAGCCCTTGCTGCCAACAACGATTCAGCAGTCCAACCTTCCCGAGCTGGCCCACACGAATGGGCTAGTGCTGCGCAACATGCTGCGAGAGGACAGGTTCTTGTCTGCCAATTTGTCTGTCACTCTCTGTATTTGTACACGCAGCACCTTCCTCGAAGCAAGCTTGCTAGGTATACCACCTAGTCCGGTCCTGACAGATGCTATGCAGCAAGTCGAGCCACGCTTTCGGGCTGTGTGGCAAAGCTGAGCAAAGCATCTGTGGCCTTTCTGTTTCCATGGATTCCATGCAGGAGAACGACTACTACACGGCCCTTGAGGCTGATGATGCCGGTCGTGAGATCCTGCAGAGAATGATTAGCTCCGAGCAGACCTTCGATGTGTTGCTCGACGCTGGGGCTCTGGTTACGGACATGACCAATCAACAGCTGGCTTCTGAGTGGCTTCAGAAAGAAAAGCGCCGCGGCAAGGAGGCAGCGATTTTCTTCAGCAATCAGAACACAGAGATGGTAGTGGATCGAAATGGCCAGGTGCTGCCATTATCCTTGTCTCCGTATGAGCGCTCTCTTGACAAGTGCTTGCTGTACTTGGATGATGTACACTGTAGGGGATGTGACTTCAGCATGCCTCCTGGCAGCAGAGCGGCTGTTACGCTGGGGCGTGGCATGCAAAAGGACAAATTCGTGCAAGCTTGCATGCGAATGCGCCTACTGGGCAATGGCCATTGCTTATCTTTGCTGGCATCTTACGAGGTGAACCTGCAGGTGAAGCAGTACCAGTGTAAACCCGAGCTGAAGGATATGCATGTCCTTTGCTCGATTTTGTCGTGGTGTGTCACGAACACTGCGAAAGTCATCGCGGACAAGCTCCCTTACATGGCCAGCCAAGGACTGCACCTGCAGTAGGCAAGGCACATTATGCCACTGTGCACCCCAAAGAGTGAAACAGCTGGCATTCCAGACCCTGGAGTCGCCAGAACCACTCCCATGCAAACGAGCTACAAACAGAATGTGAACTGCGCCAGAGATTTCGGGAGGCGGACAGGACTTTGGCGAGAAGACCTTTGGCAGCCCAACACTTTCGCAGAGCTTTCTGGCATGAACACGATTTCGAACTTCGCCCAGGCCAAACCTAGGACAGAGTCTTCGAGGTCTTTGAAGCCCAAGAGAAATGGACTGTGGCGGGAGCACTGCCACCCGAAGCCACCGGAGAATAGGCACGGGATTGTAGGAGCCGGAGCGCAATTTTACCGACTTATGACTATGCCAAAACATTGGAATGAATCATGAATCCCGGGTCGCCCAAAATTGGGCTCATAGTGGAACCTTAAACCCTAAACCCGGCAGGATTTGAAATTAGCTTGTCAAAAAATTAGATTGATAATACATAATACTTGAATAATAACATATGCGCAGACGAGGGCAGGCCCGTGGGGGAATAATGCTCGGGAGCACCTCCACGATTTAAGATGGTTTACGAAGCCCAGCACAACCCTTGTGGAAACAAAGGAAGCATGCAATACACGGCGACAGTCAGAGTTCTGTTTCTTAGCTCCCTGCGCCCCAAGAGGAGCATCTCGTATGCGGAAGGAGGCTGCCTATGCTGGCAGCAGCGATCTGACGATCGTGGCAGAGGGCTGCTGCGAGGATGAGGCGAGGCTCTTAAAGGAGATGTACGGCCACGGACGCACAAAGCAGGCACTTCCTGACATTGTGCGCAAGATCCTCAACACCTCTCAGCAACCTGAGACGGGCGTCGGAGTCCGCCCATGCCCGATCAAAGCAGACATTGAGGTTCGAGTTCGCCGTCTGGCCAGCGGGGTACAAAGACACCGGCAAGCCTCTTGGATGAAGAACAGGAGCGGGAGCTGGAGGTGGAGCAGGAGGCCGGCGGAAGTGGCTGGGTTTTTGCTTAGTGTCATGGGAAAAGGTTCTTGTTGACCTCATTACTAGGTTATGATACTACTGTCGTTGTTATACTTGTTTACATAAGTGATATGATATGACATTATACATTCTATGTTTATGGTCCATTATGCCACTATGATATCACATGATATCAGCTGGTATGATTGTGTTCCATTGCACTGTATTGCATTGTTTCATTTCGTTTCATGTTGTCATGTTTATTATGATACATTACATTCTGTGTTTTAGTCTAGTCTAGTAAATGCTGCATGGCGCAGTCGAACATGGCCCTGTGAAAGGAAGAACAGCAAGTGGAGCGGCCCGGCAGTGCACGGCCCTGCAAGCCGGAGATCTCGAAAGGCGCCTGTGGACAAAAGTCGTTGAGTGTCGGGCCTCACGTGCAGGCCTTGCATCTTGATGCATCCTCTGCACCTTGCCGCAGGCGTCGTGGAACTCGCGCAGCGTGGTTACACGTCCGAGCAATTCTGTTCGATCGACGAACTTCTAGCACAGACCTCGTTTCCTTGCAGAGACTGGTCTGGTGCTGACATCAAGGTGACCCAGGACTTCATGCGAACAGTGCACATGACTATGCTTGATGGCTACTTGCGGCCGGTTATGTGGGTGCTCCGGGGGGACAACCACCAGTTGGTGATCATCTCTAACTATGAGGCGGAGGCCGTTTTCCAGTCATACGGGACAGGCCCCACGGTCAAGCAGTAAGATGCTGCAGGTCATACTTGCGTATGCAGGTTTTGTGTAGAACTTACGGTCCTTTGAATCAAGCACTTCAGCATGTTTTGGTAGAAGTGCATGGCGGCCTGCTGGTAACAGCTTTTCAGAAGTACACCTTCACTCAGAAGCCGCATAGTGGTTTCTACAGACAGCATCGAAATTATTGGGCACCCCTTCGGGACTAACCCTGAACCCCAGATGCCTCCCACCGTACTGCAGGTGCCTCGTCGCGGCTGAGTCTGGTCGGCCGCCGGCTGCTACGCGACCAGGACTATATAATGTTATTATACCTGTTATTATATAACATAATATAGTATAATATAGTATTTACAATATAGTATAGTATAGCATAATAGAGAATATCAGAACATAGTTATTAGAATGTATTATACGATAACTATTCTACTGGAAGATACTGTACTATATTGCCACAAGCAATCCGTTTTTACGGCGAATCCAAACGTCCCTGCTTGGAGGTTCATGCGACTTAGTAACGGAATCCTAATTATTTGAGGAATTTATTTTGTTTTTTTTTGGGAATTTGTTTTGTTTTTGTGCGTGTTTGTTTCTGTCTTCTGTTGTTTTTGTTTTTTGCTTGTTGCTTTTTGTTTTCTGCTTTTGCTTTGCGCTCCGCTTTCTGCTGCTTCCTGCTCTCTTTACTTTTTTTTTTTTGTGTTTTTTGCTGTTGCTTTCTGTTGCCCGCGCGAAGCCGCGCGAAGCCACGCGAAGCGCACGAAGCCGCCTGAAGCCGCGCGAAACCGAGCGCGCGCAGGGGCACGCGCGAAGCCACGCGAAGCAGCCCGCGCGCGAAGCGCGCGAAGCTGCGTGAAGCCGTGCGAAGCCGCGCGCGAAGGTGCGCGCTCGCAGGTGCGCAAGCCGGCGTCTGGGGCGCGAAGCCGCACGAAACATATACCCAGATGGCCGCGCGAGGCATGCGCCAAGTCACGCGAAGCAGCTCTCGTGAAGCCGCGCGAAGCCGGCGCGAGCCGCGCAAAGCACGTGCGAAGCCACGCCAGCAGCCGGCATGCGCTTCGCTTCGCGCGAAGCCGCATGTGTATGTGCATGTGTGTCTGTGGTGATTTATATATGTATGTACTTTTTATGTATGTATGAAATCCCCTCATCCGTTTAATAAAACGACGATCCATCGCTGGCCGCGAAGGTGCAAAACAAGCGAGCTCTGGATCTGCCTGCACAGGGAGTGAAGCTGACACGTGGGAGAGAGAGAAAGTGATCGAGTCTGTAGAGGGCAACCACATCATTACCCAACATAGCTCGGTGGGGTGAGCGACAAGGAACATCATCAAGATCAAATCCCCACGCAAGTAGTAGTAGCAGTAGTTGTAGTAGTAGCAGCAGTAGCAGAAGTGGTAAGTAGCACGACGTCATTCGGTTTTCGAATATTCGCCAAACCGCCACTACCAGCACGGCAGTACCAGTATGCCAACAGTCTTGGTCAGCAATGTTTTGTCCTCTTGGAAACAGTAGTGCTAGGTTTGTAGAGTAGTCGTAGATGTTTTATTCTGAGAGTAGGGCTGGTGCGATGGTTTGGAAGTGGAGGAGCAGAGACCGCTTGATTGATCCTGTCTTGGCATCTTGCTTGCAGAATGTGATCACTGAGGGCATGTCCGCAAAGTTTGCGTCACAAGGAGACATCCTGGGCAAAGTCTCGACAGCTGAACAAAAAGAGGAAACAGAGATTCTGGAGGCACAGCGAAGCACCCGAAACACCAAAGCCTAAACGGATGCAAGGTCACGTGGCTTAGGAGCTCTGGCTGCAACGTCTGTTCTTGCTGTAGTTTACGGCTGTTGGGTTTGGCCATGGCCGGCAAGAAGCTGTGCAAGCTGTGCGACAGGAAGGCTTTCCTGCGCAGAGTCCTGAAAAAGGACAAAGTGCAGGCCACACAAGAGGCCTTTCAGGCGGCCAAGAAAACGCTGCCCAGGCCGGGCCATGTATCCAGGGCCGTTCATGCAGCATGTCTGTTACGCCCCCGTCTGTGCCTTGGCAGGTGCCTTGCCATATGAGGTTTTCGAGCTCCGGAAGGCTGGATGTGCCCAACTGTTCCTCATGCAGCATACGACTGCTAATTGGGTCTTACCCCACCATGTCTGTGCATGTCAAAGCCGCGCAAGTTGTTGTTTTTTATGGGTGATAGCAAGGCTCTATCCCCCTTATCGGGCTCACATCCAGGCAAAAGCTGCAGAGGGCCAGGCGGCACTCGCCGACGCTCCCGTGCTGCCACGCGCTGAGCAGGTGCAACTGTAATGTTTGTGCTGGAACTCATCTGAAATCGCCACAAGCGTAAGGATTCTTGGGACTTCGTCTTGAGGACATTCGAAGTTCAATACCCCTATCGTCACATCGCGAGCGCCGGCATCCTGAACCCTCAACGAACCTTCGATCTCCAGACTTTCTACACCCAAGACTCAAAACGCGGCCCTTCAACCCCACAAGCACAGCTCCAGGAGATGCCAGCCCCCAATGCGCCGGCATCCGCTTACGTTTTCCCCATCGCGCTTCGATCTGATCGATTTTTCATGTTCGAGAGGGTGTATTTCATCAGCATCAGGGATTTGACGTTGGACTTTCATTCATCCGAAAAAGCTCAGCCGGAGACCACGACAGCCTTCCAAGGAGTTGGACGATGGACGTCAGACTGAGATCTCGTGGCGCAAAGGTGAAGATCACGCGAAGGCCGCGGAAGGAGATTTGCAGACCTCTCCAGCGAAGTTCAATCAACAGGGCATATAGATTTTAACTTGTCCTTGTATACATTCATACCGCAAGCCTTGGCTCTCCGTTGATAAGGGCCCTTGGGCGAGAACGGCTCACTTTTCAACTACCTGACAGGGGTAGAGGAGTATGGACGCAGACACATATGCACATATACATATCTGTCGAAAAGACGCTATTCCTTGTGCGCGCCGGCTCACCTTGCAGGTATCTGACTGGAATTTCAAGTACTTGAGCGGAGTAGAGGAGTATAGATGCATACACATATGCACATATACATATCTGTTTTTTTAATCCGCTATTCCTTGTAAGTGCCGGCTCACCTTTCAGGTGTCTGACCGGAGTAGAGGTATATACACGCATACACACAGGCACATCTACATATCTATTCTGTTTGCCGTTATTCCTTGTGTTGCTGCTGCTTTGTGCTTATTGACTTTCCTTATATATTTCTTCCCTTTGTTTCCTCGAGTTCTTGGTTGCTTGCTTGTTTGTTCGTTTGCTTGTGTTTTTGCCTTCTTCATTTTTGGCGCCCTTGCCTTCTTCTTCCCTTCCTCCCTGCTTCCTCCTTTCTCCCTCTCCCTTTTCTCCCTCGCTCTCCTCTCTTCCTCTTTCCCCCTCTCCCTCTCCCTCTTCCCTCTTCCCTCTTCCCTCTCCCTCTCCCCTCTCCCCTCTCCCCTCTCCCCTCTCCCCTCTCCCCTCTCCCCTCTCCCCTCTCCCTCTCCCTCTCCCTCTCCTTCTCCCTCTCCCTCCCCGTCCTCCCTCCCCGTTCCACCCCCCGTGTGCGGCTTAAACCGGGTTTATTTGGAAGCTGGTGCTTGCACTCTAGATAGGGAAACAGTGACCTAAATCCCTTATATATAAACAAGAGCCAGCTTCCAAATAAACCCGGTTGGGGGTCCCGGGCGGGGACAGGGCCGGGAATTAAATAATTTAAATAATTTAAATCCTGGCCGGGGGGGTTCCCGGGGGCCCCGGGCCCCAGGATTTAAATAATTTAAATAATTTAAATCCTGGGGAAGGGCTCCGGATTTAAATTATTTAAATTATTTAATTCCCGGGGCCCTGGACCCCCGGGGACCCCTCCCCTTCAGGATTTAAATTATTTAAATTATTTAAATTATTTAAATTATTTAAATTATTTAATTCCCGGCCCCATTTAAATAATTTAAATAATTTAAATAATTTAAATAATTTAAATCCTGGCCGGGGGGGTTCCCGGGGGCCCCGGGCCCCAGGATTTAAATAATTTAAATAATTTAAATCCTGGGGAAGGGCTCCGGATTTAAATTATTTAAATTATTTAATTCCCGGGGCCCTGGACCCCCGGGGACCCCTCCCCTTCAGGATTTAAATTATTTAAATTATTTAAATTATTTAAATTATTTAATTCCCGGCCCCATTTAAATAATTTAAATAATTTAAATAATTTAAATAATTTAAATAATTTAAATCCTGGCCGGGGGGGTTCCCGGGGGCCCCGGGCCCCAGGATTTAAATAATTTAAATAATTTAAATCCTGGGGAAGGGCTCCGGATTTAAATTATTTAAATTATTTAATTCCCGGGGCCCTGGACCCCCGGGGACCCCTCCCCTTCAGGATTTAAATTATTTAAATTATTTAAATTATTTAAATTATTTAATTCCCGGCCCCATTTAAATAATTTAAATAATTTAAATAATTTAAATAATTTAAATCCTGGCCGGGGGGGTTCCCGGGGGCCCCGGGCCCCAGGATTTAAATAATTTAAATAATTTAAATCCTGGGGAAGGGCTCCGGATTTAAATTATTTAAATTATTTAATTCCCGGGGCCCTGGACCCCCGGGGACCCCTACCCTTCAGGATTTAAATTATTTAAATTATTTAAATTATTTAATTCCCGGCCCCATTTAAATAATTTAATTCCCGGGGCCCTGGACCCCCGGGGACCCCTCCCCTTCAGGATTTAAATTATTTAAATTTTTTAAATTATTTAAATTATTTAATTCCCGGCCCCATTTAAATAATTTAAATAATTTAAATAATTTAAATCCTGGC